GGCCTACCGTCCTAATCTCGCTGTGTATCAGCGCGTTTCAATCGCTGCGGAAGTCGTAGTGATCTGAGAAGGGGCTAAATTTCTTGCACCTTTTTCTAGTTTTTAATTCGAATCTTTTCAAAGACCTCGTCAAGATCTTCCTTGTTTGTTTTCGAAGTCTTTCCTCAGCTCTGACCTTCGCCCATAACCTTCCTTGTGTATGATCATTTCCCACGACTTTTTTGTGTATAACCTGAAGGTTTTCTCACCTGAGACTTGAAAAAATCCTCCACAACAGTAATGTAAAGTATTCCTTCATGTCCCTGGTATCTTTGTGATTAAGTCGCTCAGATATTGACACGTCATCAGAACGCATAACATGGCTGGAATGGATACTGAACTCTGTAGTATTCTATCGTCCCACTAATTTTATTTTAAGTGGATGACTCATATCCCTGATAACTGTTATAGAGATAAGAAAGGAGAAATCAGAACATATCTTACAACATTTGGAACTTTGGCGGTGGCATTCATTATCAGGTTTTTGTTTCATTATATAAAACTGCTTGTTTTATAGGAGCACAGGTGGAGTCGGCAACTATTCGGTATGCGTCCTTCGATAAGGTAAAAAAAGAAAATTTTCGTTCTTGTTTCGAAAATCGTTTAAGCATAATCTATTGTTTCCCAAATCCATCGTTTTTTAATACATCTTCTGGCCGTTAAGCATACAAGGTAAGAGGTAACGAGAAAGAATTGTGCTCTATCTTTGGTTCTCGGTTTAAAAAATTATACGTAAGCATTCCTGTCAAGATGGGCGATGTTTGCTTCATCTAACAATTGGCACACTATTATAAAATATACTTCCCTATTTAACTTTTCTCCAATTGTTTAGAAGATAGAAATTTGACATATTTCATTACGATTCGTTTTAGTGGTAGTGGTACTCGAAGAACGTCCACGGTTTCTACTTCCAGTGGCTCAGTTCGTGACCAGAAAGACCAAAAAAGTGCGGAAATTGGTTATAGCACTGAATTTGCCAATAAGGTGGAAACTCTACATTCTTGTTCACAGCTATTTATAAGCCGAATCGAAAGAGAGGACCTCTCTTTCGTTACTAAATTTATCTCATCACAGAGAGAGCGCGAGTAGCATTCGGAAATCTTTGTAATTGTATAAGTTAGGATTAAATTTTAATTTCTCCTATGTTATTTGGCATTAAAAGAATCCTTTAACCTTGCAAACAAGAAATTATACGTAAAGGGCTTCCCAACAAAGATAAAATGAATGAGTTTATTTTATTAAATAAATGAGTAACCTGAGATATTTATTAGCTTTCCTGAATTTAAAGAATGAGCAGGAAGAAACAGAGATGGAAGATGAGGAGGGAAGTTATGATTCAAAACGTATGCGTCATCATCGCGAATCAGCGGAAGTTGCTCGAAAACGATTGAAGCTGGACCTAAAAAGTTCTGTTGATCGTGGAATTGTTGAGGTAAATTCTTTTTTAATAATAGAAAACAATGTTTCGATTGCTAGAAATATCTATTTTAGGTACAGTAAATTTATGCAAACTGGAACAAATCGGAATTTTTAATTTATTACATTGTATTACATTCTTGCTTGTATCACTTGTGTCGCAATCTTGCTTCACTTGATTGCATATTGTCTCCAAAATGCAACTTTATGCTCCACTTATTCATAAAGATATCACAATTTGCTATTAAAACTTGCTTTGCCATATATTCATCAACTTACATCCAAAATTTATGCTGCTGGGCAGATTTTTTAAAAATTGCGAACTATTCGTTGAGTTTTAATAAATTTAACAAAGTCACAATTTTTATTTTTATTTTAAAGAATGGTTCAGAATCGAATGAATCAAGAGAGGGTTCTTGTGAGCGCAATGATTGTGGCCATTTGAAAAAGTGTGCTTTGGATGTTTCATCCATGTAAGCTAATTTCATTTTTTTCATTTGGAGTAACTTCTCGCTATTCAGATTGATGAACAGGTCAAATAGAATAGCAGCTGGTGATGTTTTTCTTGGAAAGACTTATTGTTAACGGGCAGCATTTCATTAAGTGCCAGCTTCTTAGCATAACTGATAAATTGAATTCAAGTCAATCTACATTTACACTGATGTAATGAAAAAATTGTGATTTCCTGGAAATTTTCAATGACTTCGAAACAGTGATTTCTTGGAAAATTCCTAATGTTGGATTTACTATCGATTTAACAAAAGATTTTGAACCATGCTGTTTTCCCTACAATTTTAACTATTCCAGGTGCTATGGACGTGAAAATCATGGAAGTACACATCTTACAGATGGGAATTACAACTATAAAACTTTCCATCATATTTCGAAGGGCGAGCATGTTTGCTGCGCATGTTATGATGAGATATGGAAACCGTAAGTTCTAGAATAGCACAAAATAGTACTGCCTCGGTTATGCTATCATAACTTAAAATGTTCCACATAAAACAAAATTTTTGTCGAATATTTAACTGAAAGAAATTTAGTGGCCGAACAGGTAATGATCGTTTTAATGAATGGAAGGGAAAATGGGCTTCTGAAAGCCGCTGCACTCCATGTGTACGACTGTACATTCAAGATCAGTTACTTCCATTTTGGTTGCAGTGCAAACTTTGCAATAAGTTTAGGTAAATTCCTACAGAAATTTTTCAAAATTTATGTCGTTTTTTCAAAATTTATGTCGTTATTTTGCCCGATTCAAAACAATTTACTGGAAAAAGGAGATTTGTTTTTGTTCATGAACAAAATGTATTTTAATGAGTCATTGGTTTGTTATTGAAACGAAGACAAAGTTAAGATTCAGTTCTAAATTTAGTTGGGAATTCATATGTTGATTAAAACTTTTTTAGGCATTTGCCAATTACCGTGAACAGTATAAGTCGTGAAGATGTCGAAAGATTTGTTTGTGGTAGTCATATTGAGGCCGATAGGGATAGCTTAAACGACCCATGTGACGTTAAAGAGGAGGAGGTATTCTGGTGGCTTTTTTGAATTAACTTCTTTGGGGCTTGGTATATTCATTTTCTCTTTAATTTAATGCTATACGTTTGATGATCACTCTTAAATTGTTGGACTAGTTCTTCATTATTTAATTCTTCATTTGTTAAAGTAAACTTTCAGTGTGTACGTGATGCTTCCGAAACGTTATGGATAAAGTCGGTCAGCATCCCACCTTTACTGCATAATTCACCTGCAGCTCCATTTTTACAACATGAATATTATTATGATGAAGTAGGAATTAGCCCTACTAATGCAATATTCGAACATCAAAATGGTAATTCTTTTCCATTCCATCTTAAATTTTAAGGAATGATTCTGTTGGGAAGAATAAAAAAGATGCCTTTTGGATGGTAGGGTTTTCTCACTGGATGATCGTTGAACTACCATAAGGAAATGTTGAAGTCTACTATTTCCAGAAAATAATTTTTCATGGAATTCCCAAAAAAATCGGTCGATAGTATGGGGTTGAGAGTTTTCCAAAAAATCGATCGACAGTAATGTTGATTAAGAGTTCTGTTCTTTTATGGTATTGGACAGGGCTCTTTATTTGTCTTGTTCGGATTTTATTAATATTACACACGATTTTATAATATGAGTCACCAGAAATTCAGCATTTCTGCACACTCCTTGCTGTTATTATGTTATTTTTTTCTTTGACTATTTTCCATGATAAATTATGGTTTTCTCGAAACCTGTGATAAGTTTATAATTGGTAGAAAGTGCAGTACGGAGCTTTATGCGTCCATTCAATATTCCACATGAACAGTCAATGGCATTTTGTTTACGACCGGATGTTATGGAATACGACGAATTACACAGCTTTCCGGAATATGCTACCGAACCAGTTGCTTATTTGGCTATGCGGAATCTCGTTATTGCTTTATGGAATCTCAATCCATTTGTGAGTTCTATAAACATATTTTTTAAAAATCCAAATAGTTTTAACTCAAGAAATTCGAACTGCTGTGCCATATGGATTACAAGTTGTATGTAATACTTCAAATATACACAATTTATATTGTTTGCATTGAATTCTCAGTTTCGGAAATCTGGTTTTTTTAGCAGTATTTAACTGTGGAGTGCTGTATTCCATACCTAATTTGTCGAGGTCTTGCACGAGTTTGGTATATTAATGAATTAAATCGAGTTATCAGATTTCTTAGTCTCAAGTCTCTCATCAATTATGGCGTATTAAATTTCTCCAAAACTTCAATACTTTCATCAAAATGCAGCGTAAGTTATTCAAATTATTAAACTTCTACTGCAGACAATTAATGGTTTGGTTGCTGATATTTTTGTTGAGAGCACAATATTATCAATCCCACATTTTCGACAATCGATAATGTTGTTTTTAACGATTCATTCTTTTGGGATTCAAGTTCAAATTTTTTAGGATATGGAAGTGGTTATTGTTGGCGCTGGGATCAGTGGTTTAACTGCAGCTCGGCAGCTTCGTTCATTTGGTGCTCGGGTTAAGGTTCTAGAAGCGAAGGGGAAATTAGGCGGACGACTATTGGTTTGTTATTTTTACTCATATCTAGCGAGCCACAGAAAAAAAATTCCGGAAAAATTCGCTAAATTAGAGAAGTTGAACTGTGCTCAACTGGACTAAATTCCTTTTACATTTTATCAAACTCACAAAATTTCACCGATTCTCCTTGAAGCATGAAATTTAAGGATTGCAACAAGATTTAACCTGTTAAAATTAACTTGTGATAGCCTTGCATACAGGGTTTGACTACATAGTTTCTTCGTGGGAATTACTGGACATTCAGTGTAAAATTTTATTAATGAAATAACAAAATTTTATTGTAATGAATAATGGACAGTTTTTGTGAATCTGGTGGAAATATATTTTAATCGGATTTTTGATAAGATTTGTTTTGAACTATTGACTTCCGTTTCTCACCTTTTTAATATGCAACTTCTCGTATTATGTACCATCGCTTTCAAATGGGATAGAACAATAGCTGCAGGATGATTGGTCGTTAGGCGTTGCAGTTGGTAGTGGTGCTCAGCTTATTACTGGAATTATCAACAACCCAATTGTCTTAATGTGCGAACAAGTTTGTTTTTATTCTTTTTCTTTTATCACTTCCGAGGAAATCAGGAAGATTTGCTTTTTTATTCATATACTTTTTTTAATCATCTATATAAATTAGTTTTCTTAATATTTGTTACTGTTTTTAGAAGTGCTAGACATCTGAAAAATTCCGGTAAAAACATATGGTTTTACTGGAAATTTTCGGAATATTTTTTGTTATTCAAGGTTTTGAAAGGAAACTTCATCAAGACAATACCCATTCTACCTGTTTCTCCATTTTTAGTTCTTTCGAAATGCATGCCACACTGCTGTTTTACAGTGAGTACTGTATTACAGAACGGGAAGGTAAATATTTTTCTAGAGAAGGGAAAAAAATGGTAATAAAAAGTATGCATTCGTAATTGATGAGTGCAAAAAATTAATTTCGCATTAAAATTGCAGATAGGTGTTGTTTATCGCGCTGTAAAAGACGAATGTCCGTTGTTAGATGCAGGTACTGGAAAACGAGCATCAAGCATTTGTGACCGAGTTGTCGATGAACATTTTAACTGTTTACTGGATTGTTTGGCCGACTGGAAGCAGAATGTTAAAGTTGGTGATGAAAGTCTATACGGTAATTTTCTATACAGTGTTCATGTTAAAGGTTCAAATTAAATAATGCTTGGGCATTATTTGGCAGCAATTGATTGCTTTTTTTAAATCGTGGTGCTATTCCTAAACTTTTTCTAAACTGTTCAGGTATATAAAGTGAAATTCATTTCATATGCTTGGGAGGCTTAGTAGGAGGTCTTGTACTAGTCTTCCGCTGGCTTTTTGATTTCTTGAAATTAAGGCACTTCTTTTATACAGTTTGTAACATCTTTATGCAGCTATGAAATAAAATCCGTTTTTCTTTTTCATCCCAGATTTGTTTTCAGATCGTATAATGGGCTTGCATAATGCATTCCTAAAAACGACAGGACTGAAATGGACTGAGGTTTGTACATACCTTTTAATTCTTCTATTACCTTTATTGATGTCATTTTTATTCAAATTCTTTTTACGTGGTTAAAACAGGAATAAGACTTTAATACTGGCTTAAATTCATTCGTCTTCTACGGATTTGTCCACTATTTTGATTTACTTTTGTTTTTTTAAAACTTACGAAAACTTCTGATTATTCAAATCCATTGTCATATTTTGGCTTGCTTCTGTCGTATTTAATCATTTCAAATCATTTGCACATTTTTAATTTATTCGATTTAAATTATTTCCAGTTGTACATGTCTCAGCACTACACTTTTCCCCTATTTTAATGATTTGCAACATGTGGCACGTTTATAAGGTTGACATGAGAACGAATATGTATGAATTGCAATTGCACGTTCTCAAACACAACAAAATTTTATAAGAGGGTGGGTATGGTGTACCCAGCCATAGCTCAGTTGGTAGAGCGGAGGACTGTAGAATGTTGCGTGGTGATCCTTAGGTCGCTGGTTCGAATCCGGCTGGCTGGAGTCCTGGTTTTGCGGCAGTTAGTTCAAATGAGTTGCACTTGTTTCAACTTGTTGTGAATGTGGGCTTATTCCTTAAGGGGGGGTTTTAAAAAAAGGAGGAGACTTTTTCATTTCTCCACTTGAAAAGTTGGAGCTTAACAAGGGAGTAGGAATACAAGTTTAGATATATCTTGGACGAGAATGTGGAATTGAGTCTCTTTGATTTCTTAAATTTTCAATTTGTCATTTTTAAATTCACGAGTTTAGACTTTGACTGAAGGGTTAAATTAAGATAGAAAGATGGGAAAGTAACCACAGATCCACTTTTAACTTCTAATCAAATTAGGAAGAAGAGCGCATGCTGCAGTGGCAAATAGGTAACGTGGAATTTTCATGTGGTTCGAAGTTGGATGGTGTTTCGGCTCGTAATTGGGACCAGAATGAAGCAGTGGCGCAGTTTGCTGGTGTTCATGCTTTACTAACTGATGGTACCTCGGAACTAATGCGTCGACTGGCAGAGGGTACCGATATTCGATGTAATCATGAGGTTAATGTTCCCTGTCTTTTGTTCTTTTGAAATTATTAATGGTATAATTAAAACTGGTGGAGCTTTGTAAGTCAGTTCATATTTATTATAAGAAATCAGGTTGCTTTATCGAAATATTTGACGAGAATTTGATGCAATATGTTTGTTTTCGCTTCCTCATCAATGTTCACTTCCTCAACAAACGGTTAAAAAAATCTCTCCTTGTACAGGCTCTATTAAATTTTCAAAAATTTTTCAAAATTTGTTTAGGTATCAAGGATTGAGTGGTTGGGGCGAAAGAAAATTCTCGTTAAATGCAGTAATGGAAAGAAGTATTCATGCGACAAGGTCTCTTTCAATTTTAATTTCATTTTTGGGTTCTTTTTGAGTTTTCGATTTCACTTAACATTGGATAAAATTTGACTTTTCGAAGTTTTCCTTGCTTTTAATGATACGAACGTTTTAGTTCCATTTAACCCTTATAATCATAGCTTAGATGCTTTCCTGCCACGTTTTTATTTGCAGAATACGACTAGATCTTTTTTCCACCTGCAACATGTCTGATTTTCTACTGCATTTTTATCGTTCAAAAACGCTATGTTCAACTACCTTATCCTTCATTCAGCACCTTTAGTGATGAAAATTGAATGCGTTAAATAGTTATTCTTCTATCTTTTACATTTACTTAAGGTTTTGGTGACTGCTCCATTAGCTGTATTACAAAAAGAATTAATCACATTTGTTCCTGGTTTGCCGCCAACAAAAACAGCGGCTCTAAAAAATTTGGGCGCTGGCTTGATAGAAAAGGTTTGAGTTTTACTCCTCTAACAAACGAAAAAGAATTTAAAACATATAAGGAAGTCGAAATTGAATATTTGTATCTCAAGATATGGCTTGTTTAGTGGATGACCTTTCAACACCCGTTCTGATTCAACTATTTGTAATTACTTTGATGCAGTGTAAAATATTGAATTGTGAAATGAGTTTATTTTTTCTTTTATATATCTCATTTTTTATCGAATAGTAGTTTGTTTCTGTGATGATGTAAATTTAAATATTTTCGAAATTAAATAGTTGAGTCGGTCTCATTTTCAGTCAGTTATATTCCAACTTTTAGGTAGCTGTGAAATTTTCGCGACGTTTCTGGTTGTCTATCCTGAAAAGTGATGGAACATTGGATTATTTTGGTCATGTGCCGAAAAATGCTAATGAAAGAGGACTTTTCAATATGTTCTATGATTTTTCAACTCGTGTAAATAATATTTATTAATTTCCGAGTTTACTATAAGCGCCACCTTTGTTCGTACTCTCTTCCTTCAAAGATTACCTTTCCATAAATTAGTATGTTATTAACAAAAAGAGACGCTAAACTAGTGCCAGAGTGTGACTTCCTCCAAATTCTGAATCTGAAGCTTGTTATTTGAATTGATAACTAAAATAACTAAAATTACTTTGACGTTATGATAACTAAAAAACTAAAATTACTTTGACGTTTTATAACAGAATATTAGATAAATATAAGTTGATATATATATATATATATATATATATATATATATATATATATATATATATAT